TACATTTATGTTTAAAGTAACCCTTGATCCTAGTATCAAAATATTAAAGTAATGTAACTTGATTATTTTCCATTACTTTTGGATTACCTTAACACCAAATAAGTGAATGAAAACAAGAGAAAATAAGTATTGATGCAAGGGTATTCTATAAGACAAGCGAACAACCTGAAAAGAATGTAAAAAATGTGTCCTCGTTTTTTTTTTAAAGAAAAACTGATGTATTTTAAAATAGTAATCTGATTACATATTTTTTCTGTAACTGTAATGGTTTAATGGATTTTTTTGTATCCTGGTTACGTAGCTCAGGTACACGTAATCCATTACTCCCCTAAACCTGAGTGTCAGAAAATACAATGTGTCTGGCTGTTTTTTCCTCTTTATTGCAGCAGTTCACTAGGCATTCGTCACACAATCTGACATGCCTCACATTTACAATTGTAAGGTGTGCCGTAGATTGCGACCAAGATTGAGAGTGTGACATTCAATGAAATTGCAAGATTTCGGTTATCACAGTGTGTAGGTGTATAAAGTCTCGCCTCATGGAGATCACAATGGTAATGTTTTTTTTATTTTTAGTCATCTATTGTAAGGAAGAATATACACAGGCTTGTGTATGCTTACAGTACTTTATCAGTGTCCAAGATAACCTCTCTCTCTCTCTAATGCACATATGCCCATTATAATAATATAATATAATAAAACATGCTGTACGTTGGCCAAAGCCGGTCCCACAAACCATCTGAAGACCGATTGTTGTGGGGGGCATCCACAATTGCCCACAGAGCCCGCTAGAGCTTAAAAGCACACACACGCGGCCACTAATGTAGTGGCGGTGTCCCAGACAGCTTTAAGGAAGCATGCCATTTCCTGTGGAGCTACTGCAGGTCTCTGTCCATAAGGCTGATGACTCCCTGGGGCATCCACCTACTTTATGCTGCTCATCTGGACATATCTACAGTTGCACAACCAACCTCCCTGACAAACACATACACGCACACTTTGTCACGTGCACAAATTAGCACTCACACACGCATTCACACACCAGCTGACATGTAGACAACATTCAAAGGACAGCTACTTGTGTTTGCTGAGTTTGCATTATCATGCTATAATAGCGATTTGCATGGTTTTATCTTGAATGCATGTGTCAGTTTCCAATGTAGAGTCTATGCTAAGGTGTTATCTCTTTCAACATAGAGTAACATCAGTATTACAGTCTTCCTTTCCTCCTGGTCAGTCTTTTGACTGTGAGTAGTAAAGACTGGAGGACAGAGAAATTGCCTGAAGCTTACTCTTTATCCCTTCTTTACAATTTAATGAGATCTATTAGTCTTTAATTAAACTTTAGGAGGAAGTCGAGCAAGGGGGAGAATAGGAGTAAGGACGAGGACGGTGATGGATGAGATTTGGTTTACAGAGAATATGTCACACTATGCTCTCTAGGATTTTATTCTCTCATTAGCCTCCTAGCTTCTACTTATGCTGCTGGGACAAATCTGCTTAATGTGGGGGATCTACCTTCAGGCTATCATTGTGTCCATCAGTCAACCTGTATGTTCCTTTACAAACCTCCCCTTCTTTCCAGCTGTTCTCCTCCACCCCCTCTTTGACTTTCTACATCTTTACCACTCATATACTTAGGATTTAAGTAGAAACATGTCCCAAACCTAAAGGCCAACCCCTCCTCCCACCCAAACACATACCACTATCCATAGTAGACAATTAGACCTTTTTCTCAGCATTAATTACCATTTTAATTAGCAAGGCTGTGAGAATGAATAATCTGACAGCATATGGCTAAGGGTGCAAAATCATAATCCTATCACAGCGTTATTTATTCCCTCCCAGTTCCAGGGGGCTGTTTCAACATGCTGGTCTAATTACTATTGCTGGGGGTGGGGACTGGGAGCCAAGCTCAGAAAAACAATAACAATGCTAATGCTGGAGGCAACGCTAGGCTAGACCTACACCCAATTCTTGCTGCACTCTTTCTCAATAGGGAACAGGGCTTAAAAAACAAGGAGGGACATGGGAAATGAAAGAGAGTCAAGATTTGTCTTCTCTTTTCTAACGAGGCTTTCCTTAATGAAAGGCAGGACACTGAATTGAAACATCTGCTCCAGCGAGTGCCTATTTAAATGAAAGATAAAAAGCGAGTGCTTGTTTGTGATGTGACGGGGAGGAGAGAGGGAGGAGAATGGAAACAGAGGCCAACAGCTTTCTTAAATAACATCATTATTTATTGCATGTGTCTATAAAGAATCAATACAATCTAAAGCAATGAACTAAGTTTAAATTATCATCTCTTAGTAGCATCACAATATGCAAGATATGAAATATTTACAATGAAAGACACAGCAAGATAAGCCAGGGCCCATATCGTAACCTTTAGATGCTTAATAAAAACTTGAAACATTATCCAAATGCAAAACACTGCTCAAAACATCAAGAGGCTCGATTAGCAAAAAACACACAGAAAAAAGTTTTCATTTCAAATTTGGAGGAAAAAAAAGGTACAAACAGCAAAAAATCTGATTTTAAGGTTTAACAAACATTATTAACAGTATTTATACATTTGGTACCTCTTTGTAAACTAATTTTCCAAAGTGTAAATATTGCATATATGCCATTTGTGTTGTACCTAAGTTACAAGAATGAATTATGTCAAGTATTAATGATCTCTCTTAAAATCGTTTTTCAGAATTACAGCATTAGAAAATTTCCTCATAGTGGCATCCATTTCACAAGACTATCCCATGACAGTTTAAAAAGAAAATCAAAGCCAAACCATACCGGTTAGCATATAACTTAATTAGTGCTTTTGTTGTATCAGAAAGTTCACTCAAACACATACTATGTACAGTACAAACAACATAAGTTATTTAACTTAACATGTCTCAAAGTTTCTCAGCTTTGCTTAAATGTAATTCTCTGTAACGTTGCACTATTTACAGTATATAGGCAAAGGTTAGGTACCAGTGAATTCAGATAAATAAAGAGATACCTTCCCTGGTTTGTATGTGTGTGTCGTAGTTTCCATTCAGTACCTTTGCATGTTTCATTGTTGTTGTTGCAGTTTTTGTGGTGTTTGTTGGGTTGTGTGTTCCCAAGCTCAGAACACAGCATGTACTACATTCAATGTGTCTTGTGTTACAATCTGGAAAGTTTGTAAGTGCAAGACCATGCATTGGCTCCGGCGTGTCCCGTCTAGCTCTCTCTTTCTCTCACCGCTCAAAGCGGCAGCAGAGGCCCGTGTGTTCAAGCAATCGAGCGGCTCACTGAACAGCGGGTCATGCATTCGCCACATTGCTCGGCGCTGCCTTCACCTCCCAGCCAACCGTGTGGTGTCACAGAGCTCCGCAATGAGGCATCAGGTGAGAAAATGTAAGATTCTGAGCTGTCCAGTTACTCTGTATAAATAACTTCAAACATTCATGTTACCACCCCTTGATGTGACAGGTCATAACTTCCTGCAGGCTGTGTAGATGTGCAGGATATCACAGGTGAACAGCGGGTGAGAAGGTAAAGTGTATAAAGGTGCTGAGACTTGGGCTCAGACAGGCCACAGATCTGGTGGTCAGGTCCAGTTGGTTCATGCTGCAGTGCTTGGATGTGTGACTCCTGCATGCACGTGTGATGCAATGCAATGTCAAGTATTCCTCTAAAGTCCTGTGAATCCTCCATCTCAGGCATATTAATAAATATATTACTCTGGATCTTTAATACATAATCTTGTCATAAATGTAACGTGGGGAGAGAAGGAACTTAATCTCAGAGAGGCTGTCTTTCACTTGGCTCTGATGAACATTCGGTTTATAAGATGATTGGTTAAATCTTTGATATACTGCGTGTTTATAGGTCCAAACTAAAAAGATCCATCAGAGGGGGCTGACGGCTAGAGTAAGGCTTTGGATTGGTGATTTTAAAAAACATTCACCTGTGAAAATAAATATTTTTACATATATTTCTACTGTGTGAATTGGTACCAACCTGGTTTTTTGCTGAGGTAGGTTTTTTTTTAAGCAAATGTTAACTTTGTTTTTTTAATATGTTCATAAATGCCACCTCTTTTTGCAATACAATCTGTATAGAAATTCACACACACGCACACACACTTCATTAAATGCATACATAGATGATAAATAAATAAATATATGTAATCTGTATGCATGGATGTTGCATGTATGTGTGTATGTATGTGTGTGTGCGTGT